CTCCCTTTTTGTTCTGTTTTGTAGTGTTTGGTATGGACCCCGAGGCCTTACACACACTAGGCTAACAGGCTCTGTTGCTGAGCTGTGTCCCCAGCCCCTGCCTGGCTCTTTCATGTGAACCCAGCATTGTCCTTCCTCTTACAGATGTATCAGAATGTTGAGATAAAGAGGTGGAAGGCTGGAGAGATGCCTCAGTGGTTAAGAGCACTTGTTCTCGCAGAGGACCCTGGTTTGATTCCCAACACCCGTGTGGTATCTCACAACCATTTCTAACTACAGTTCCAGAGGATCCAGTGCCCTCTTCTGATCTCCAAGGGCAGGAGGCACACACATGGTGCACATACATGCATGCATGAATGTAAAACACTTACAAAAGGAATAAATCTGAGTTTTAAAATGCCTATCCCAGCTCTCTCCTGAAAAGTGAGCAGGAAGTAATGTGGCCTGAGCCAGACACAAATGAGATCATAAAATATCAGTCCTGACCCAGAGGCCACAGATCACCTTTGGTGTCTCTGCTAATTCCCCTTCATGCCCCACATGGTCCATGGAAAGAAACTCCATTGTCAGCCCAAGAGGAAGCAGCTGTGGGGAGTTCTGACATCATGGTGTCTGAGGTTAGAGCCTTGGCTCCTTCCTCCTTGCAGGCCATAAGGACTCCCCTCCTCTCCCCCTCTGCACAACAGTTCCATGGGATACAGGGAACCAAAAGTATCTACATGAATGGTCTGTAGCTTTAGAGGCAACTTCATGCTACATACCATCCCCGCTAACAGTTTCATCAGGTTTATTCTGGCTTTTCTCAGGAGTTGGGGGCTTATGGAGGCTAGATGATGTCAGCTCCAGATGCTGTTCCTCGGCAGCCATGCACTTGGTTTTTTGAGACAGGGTCTCTCATTAGAATCTGGCAGAACTCACTAGTTAAGCTAAGCTTGATGACCAGTGAGCCCCAAGGACAACTTGTATGTACATCCTCGGCGCTGAAGTTACAGACATGCGCCACCACTTCCAGCCTTTGCAAGAATGCTAGAGCCAAACTCAGGTTCTCGTGCTTGCAAATCGAGCATTGTACCAACTGAGCCATCATCTCCCAACCCTATCACCTTCTGAGGTAAGGAAACTGAGGCTCTGAAAGAGTTGATGATTTGAACCTTGTGTTCTCTTAGCCCCAGGGAACTGTTACTCTCTGGCCTGTGAGCCTCACAGAGGCAGGCTGAGTGCTTCCTGTCCATTTGTTTTGTTTTTGGAAGAGGGGAGGGGAGGTTGAGACAGAGTTTCACGCAGACAAGGCTACCTTGAACTCTCGATTCCCCCACTTCCACCTTCCAGGTGCTGAGTGGGAGGGAGGCTTGTGCCACACATCTGGCTCCTGGCTGCTATTTTTCATGTTATACCAATTAATGAGCTTGACTCTGTATTTTTCCTGTCCTTTTTGTTGTTGTTGTATCTTGATGAAACAGGAGAAAATCCAAGCCTGTATTTATTCTTCCAGAGGGGCAGTAATAAAGCCAACTATGACAGAGTAAAAGACAAAGGTATGAGAAATACAGAGGAGGCAACAGAGGGACCTGACTCAAACTGGTGGTGATTTGCTCATAAAAGAAGGGGTGAGCTGGGTGGTGATGGCGCATGCCTTTAGTCCCAGCACTCGGGAGGCAGAGGCAGGTGGATCTCTGTGAGTTCCAGACCAGCCTGGTCTACAAGAGCTAGTTCCAGGACAGCCTCCAAAGCTGTCCAAAGCCTCCAAAGAAACCCTGTCTCGAAACACCCCCCCTAAAAAAGGGGGGTAAGGCTTCTCTAGCAACAACATCTGGGCAAATGTGGGAAGGGAGACCATTGGCCAGTGGTTTGTAGATGTTCCTGGCTCCTAGCCTGGTGCTGACTGGAGTCCCTGAAGCATCCCTTTTCCATGAGCCACTCTGCCGTGCCACTGGCTCAGGTACAAAGCACATAGTCTAGGTGAAATTTCTCCATGGCCTTTGCTCTGTAGACACCAAGCACCTCCTGTCCAAAGGAGCTAACACCCATTGGGAAAGAAAAGAGCAGGCAATTATGAAGCAGTGAAAGAACTCCCAAGCATGAGATGTTACAGAGCATGAACAGCTGGCTGCTTGCCTTTAAAGACTGGTTGCTATAATTGGGTGGCTGCAATAATGTCAAACCACTGTACTGAGGCATTTGAGTGATCAGCCTGCCCACAACTCTCCTGGAGGGTAGTCTATGCCCCCACTTACAGGGTGCCTCTCACTGGTTCTTTCCAGAATTACATGTACACCAGGAACACTGCCCAACAAAGTGTTGGGTAGCAATTAAGCAGAGAACAGTGATGGCACACAGCCACAGGAAGACTCGGGGAGGTAGAAAGACAAAGATTCAAGGCTTGGGACTACCTGTGGGGCAACCAGGGAATAAGAAAATCACTAAGTTCCACTCTGTCCCACATCTGGAATGGAGGACCTAACAGAACCCTCAGCATCTCTGAGCCCTAGACTTTGGAGCACTAGTAATGAAGGTGAGCTGCCCCCAGAAGCACCAGGTCAGTCTCAGAAAGTCCAAGGAGATGAACAGGTGTCACAAGACAGTCTGTTTGGAGACTTTTCACCCTGAGGCTCTCTGAGGCAGAAGTCAAGCAAGGTTGAGGAGAAATGGCTGACCATATTCTAGGGAACTCTTCTGTAGTAAGGGTGGGAAGTCTTGTCTCAGCCCATGGGCTCTGTCTTCTACCCACTACTTCCCTGTTCTACAGAGTGATTTCCAGGACAGCCAGAGCTGTTACACAGGGAAACCCTGTCTCAAAATAAATAAATAAATAAAATGAAACCACCAAAACATGGGCCACCGAGATGACTCTGCTGGTAAAGGTACTTGTTCCCAAGCCTGGAGACATCAGTTCGATCCGCACGACCTAATTACCACGTGGTGGAAGGAAAAAACCCACTTGAAAAAGTTTACTTCTGACCAGCACAGGCACGCTGTCACCTCCGCCTCACAATAGATATTAAGAAAAAAAAATCCTAAACAATCTTCTCTATCTTCATTGGCTAGCTCAGGCCTAATGGCCACGCCTTCAGCC